ATACAAATTTGCAGTGAATTTTTTTCAAATAAATTAACTCAAAGAGGTCAACACACTTAGATTAACTTAATGTAAAATCAGAATCTCCCATATTTTGTATAGTGCTCATTAATATGCGAGAGGTATTGAATTGGTAAAACATAAATAATAGTATGACTGAGTCCACTCAACGGATATCTGTCATACAGAAACAGGAAACTGGTTTTCATTAAAAACCCACTGTGAGTAGGAAACCCTATAGTGCTTTGTCCACCGGTGCTCACTACTGCATATGTTAGAAGTCAGTATTCAAAGGTCAAATCAACATTCTGGTCAAAACATGGAGCTGTAGTCTATATTACATTGGTATCTTGAAGCCTAACATGCAGATCTAACCAACAGTCACTGTGAATCGCTTCTCAATGGCTCTATACAATTAGCCTTGAACATCTCACACAAAGTTGAGTGAAGAGGCAGCAAGGCGAGTTGTCATGGGAACCGAGCCACATTCCGGAGAACAGAAAAGACAACTGAGTTGAGTTTCCTTCAGGCATTTTTTTTTTAGGAATTTATAAAATCTGTTTCTTTTTAAGGACATTACTTAAACTAAGACTCAAAAATATGCAGAATAACAATTGCAATAATTTTAAAGTTGAATAAATGATAAGCACTTGATTGGCGGGAACTAGCCCTCACATGACCAGCATCAGTCTTATAAATCAATTTACATTACCTGTATAGACCTACAATTAAATTCTACAAGTAAGCATAAGTACAATAGGCATGAATACAGCCATTCATTGCTAGCCTGTATCCTGTGAGAGCTAACAATCCAAGGTCAGAGTTTTCTAAAGAGGACTGACCATACAGCTTATTACAATGACCCAAACCATGGATACATTTAGAACCAAATGATACGTCTTATAAGATGAACACACTTGGAAAAAATCATTAAATTCAATTTTCTTCTTCTTGTCATTCTTTCTAAATTCAACAGCAATTTGCTCAGGACAGAAGGACAGGTTAATTTCATTCATTTTTAATGCCTTGATTTCACTTGTATACTGTGGAATACTTTATTTTCGCTGAAAAGGCTTTTTGGGCGTTTTGCTTGGAATTTATTTTCACTGATTTTTGATGAGTTTAATGTGAAATATAGGAAAAAAAGTATATTCGCTGGATTTTATTTTCACGGAATCATCCCTTCAGCGAAAATAAATTCCAAGCGAAAATAAAGTATTCTACAGTATTAAACACTGAAACCAAATTCAGTAATGACATTTGTAACCACAGACAAACCATCACCATCAGTTAGACAGAGCATGGAGCTATAACCATGGACAGAGCCAGATTGGTGAAGTTCTTGATCAATAATGAGCAAGCTGTGCTTCATAATGTAACAATGAATCAAGATAAAAGCGTCACTGATGACATCATTTGATAATTAACATAATAATGCTTGTGGTATGCATACTAAGAATAATCAAGTAATACAATATGTTCTTTGTTTTTTAATTATGCAAATAATGGTGGTCTAATTCAGTGATTTCACACTTTCAAAACACTAATGCAATCAACACTCGGCACATGATTACTGATGTGCAAATGAATAAATACTGTTAACTGCATTTGTTATGGAAATACATTTTCAATGAACACTGTTTGCTAGCTTATATACTCATGGAACTATAAACCCCAGGAAGAACAACGAAACTAAGAGAATTCAAAAAACCTTTGTCTTAGTTTATCTTACAGTGCTTTCGCTTTTGTTTCCACAACATTAGTCATACTCCATGTTAGTTGCCGCCGATACGCCCGTATCAACCGCTTTGCTGGAAACGGAAAACTTGAAAAAAAAATTTCATATCTGCGCAGTAAAATATTACGTTCACTACTCATGCGCAAACAAGTCGGTCTGCAGGGTGACCTTCAGTGTACCGGAAATCATGCAACGGGTTGGAGTTTTAGCGAGTTTTCATAATTTTCAATGTCATTTTTAGATTACTTCTTGTTTTTTTCAAACCTCGAAAAAATAAGGTTGCGAAAGTTTGCGAAACATGGGGTTTGGTATGCTGTTAGTTGTCGAGATATCCTGACTTACTCCGTGTTTCCCTTCGATCGCCAGAAGTGGCAATGTGTTTTTTTTCTCCGTTGAATGTCACTCATTTATCAGTGTTTTCGTCTTGGCGCCATTGTTTTTTTATGCTATAACCGAAACAACTCGATCACGTGATCTCCCGAAGTCTCCCAATTGACTTTGAAAATGACCGATAGTCGGAGATAAACGTTCATTTGCGTAAATCGGCACAGTCAAAATAAACATTCGACATCGCGGCAACTATCATAGTTCAAAGGAAACAAAGTGGTTGTTCTTCCTGGGGTTTATAGTTCCATGATATACTGTAGAATACTTTATTTTCGATTGGAATGTATTTTCGCTGAAGGGGTGATGCCGTGAAAATAAAATCCAGCGAATATACTTTTGTTCCTATATTTCACATTAAACTCATCAAAAATCAGTGAAAATAAATTCCACACAAAACGCCCGAAAAGCCTTTTCAGCAAAAATTAATTCCCGCGAAAATATAGTATCCCACAGTATTATATAAAGTTGTTTACAGTATTTTTTTGCTATTTTCATCTGAGATAACACTATCTACTATATTTGCAATACTGTAAAATACTTTATTTTAGCTGGAATTAATTTTCGCTGAAAAGAATCTTTGGGTGTTTTGTTATAGAATTTATTTTCACTGATTTTGGACGAGTTGAATGTAAAATATAGGAAAAAGGGTATATTGGCTGAATTTTATTTTCACTGAACCATTCCTTCAGCTAAAATCAATTCCAAGCGAAAATAAAGTATTTTGCAGTATACATTGAAACAAAATTAGTTATAATATTTTAACAAATGTAAAGAAAATAAATAGCGCGACTCACCAACATTTTTGAAAATATAACTGTAAAGAATTTAAAATTTATATACAATGCATGGTATTCTGAAATTACGATGTCTCTGAAATCTACACACGTAAACTGGGAAATATACTTTACTAGTAACAAACTTTGCATTTATCACAAGATAATTTATTTGTTATTTCACACTTCAGTCTAAAAACAAATTTATAAACCATGGTAACTGACCACTTAAAACATTATTTGTGACTTGTCACCTATGCCCAGGGTTGACTATGTTAATTATTAATGAATTCACACACCACAATCTTAGGATTTTGACCTCAATTAAAAATACAAAAGTTTAGACTCAATTTGGTGATTTGCCTACTTGTCTGAAGTTTCTTTTATTTTTTGTTATTTAGTTCTTGTCAGTGTGCAGTGGTATTATATTAGGGTGTACCATTTAAGGACAGTGAACACTAAATTTGTTTCTCATTCCCATGCATCTTGACCCATGAGGGCTAATTATTACTCTCACACCATCTTGTAGTGATTACATAGCCCCCCCCCCCCCCCCCCCCCCGCCCCAAAACACTTTTCTTACAGTGTTCAGGACAGGATTTGCGATAGTGTCTCGGCAAGATGAGTCCCACTTACAAAATTTGAAGAAATTGAAATTTGAACTTGGATAACTATTAGAGATTCGTCCCAAGCCTGCCTGAAAAACTGGGTCCCTCTTCAATAATTGGAGTCTGGGAAGCAAAATATGGGATTAATGCAATCTATGCACGAAAGCCATTTCAAGATCGCTGACCATTTCCAAAGACAAGGTATGTTTATTATAACTCATTAGTACATGATTGTAGCTTGGGGGCTGCCATACTGTTTGGATGAAGTGTATCAATATTGTGTTTAATGAGACAAACATCCCAAGGTTTGAGGCCTGTCTCGAGGTCACAGCACTGAGAAACACTCTTCCTGACTATCAAACGTTTGACATTGGAAGCCAGTGTAGTATATCTGTGATTATTCAAGCATTTTAATATTTTTTATTTATCAAGAGTTTGTATAGCGCCTAATAATATTTTATTATTATAATATTCATCGCGATTATGCCCAATGACGCTGTCAGTTCACAGAAATGCTCTCTGAAACTTACACGTTTTTAATTTAGATTTGAAAATGTTCAAACTGGCTGCAGAACGAATGTATGTTGGTAACTGTGATTCCATAATGACGGAGAAGCATGCGAGAATGAGCGAACGCCATATGTCTTGAGTCTGGTTAATAGATACACACAATATCTTCACTAGCATACATTCACAATTACAACAGCAAGATAATTTCCATTAGGAGCAGTCAATAAATTTCTTTGCTCAAAGACAAGACACTTAAATCTTAACATGTAAAGTGAAGAAATGATTACAAAAAGAAAACAGAATCAGAGAAAGTTGTTTCCCAGACAGTTTTGGTGGTTTGATAATATTAAATAATTACGCAAAACAAAATTTCAGAAAGGTCACTCTCTTAGATGCCAAATATTAAGACCACGTCTTGTTTGGTTTGTCAGTTTCTCTAGAAACGCGACTTAATAATATTAATTGACATGCACAAGGCCCCAAGATGTAAATATAACCACAGGAAAGCTAGGGGGTACAATAAGAATTCCTTTCCAGTTAGCAGCCAATTATGTTGCCATTCATTGTCATGTGGATTATGTAGATTAGCACTAAGTGTGAAAACAGTTTGACAGATTAACTATTATATAACATGTGAGAATATCAGTAATATCAGTACTGATTCTTCAAAAGAATCAAACATTTGGGTGAAACAAATATAGTTTTAAATTTTTTACGATTCAAAAAAATTGTTTGATTACAAAATTACATATAACACCTTGACGTGGAGATTATTATTTTACAGTTACTCAATTCTGTGTATTGATTAATTTTTTTTTTCAATATTATAAATGAAATAAATCTTACATTTCAACTAATAGTAAATGCATGAATTATTATGTCTAAAGGTCACAGACATGGACTTTGTAGTGAACTAGTGACAACTGTATACAATGCTGTTTATATACAAGAAACTGATTCACATTAACATCACATTTTACTTACCTGACAATTACAGCTTTGAGTTACAGTAATAATAGTTTGTCCACTGTACGGTCAGTTGGCAATACTTGACCTCTTGTGTACTCACACCGCAAACAGCCCGGCTTTGCTTCTATGGCCGAGTTAAGCTGGAATATATAATGTTTATATTGTGTTAAAATATAAGAACGTAAGAATATTGTTGATTATGTTATTATAACTCGGAAAACGCAGCCCGGAAAAATAAAAATAATACTAAGTAGTGTCCACTTTTTTGGAATTGACCTTCAATATAAACACCTTCTGAGCAAGGATTCCAATAATATAACACGATGAATTCAAAAACAGATTTAGAGATATGACCGAAATAGGAAAAGAAGTCTTAGTTTATCTGGATGTGTGGGTAATAAAGGGCTGTTACAGTTCACCGAAAATAACCTTGCATGTTATTCACAAAACAACAAGAACACAAAATGATATGCACAGAATAGAAAGACGGTTTGCTAAACACAAGACTCTGGCTTTTGTCCGCATTGCTGAGATAAGATTATACAAACCTCTCTCTCCAGGATTTCGACACTTATAGCCAATGTAATGCAGAGGAAACGGCAGCGATGAAAGCGTAGAAGGTCAATCAATGCTCGATGGTGTAAAATCCACTAGCATTCACGAATGAAAATGAAGTCAGCGAACAGCAAAGATGGCTGTGACTTCAAAAATTACGAATTCACGCACGGCAGACGAAACACGTCTATGTATTCAAATATCTTACAAACGTAGTCCAATAGATCATATTTGAAGTGTGCAGTATTCCAAAAATGTGTCCAAGAATGAGAAAACGCCGATAACTGGCGACAAGCACAACAGATTGGGGTATTTTTTTCACTCACTCCCTAAATATTAGGCGCACAAAGCGCCATTACACTCGACAGCTCTTACAAACCTTACAATGCCGTTACTTTAATCAGCCATCCTCCCTCGGTGTTGAAAGACTCACCAAATATTTGTCAATACAGATTTTTTTTAAATACCTTTCGATACATTTTTTGAAAAGATTATATTTTTGTTGCAAGTACTGCTAGCACGTTAATGAAAATAAAATTGTTTACGTTTAAAATATATCAGATTATAATGATAAGTTGTTGGGTGATCCCGCCAAATTAACGAGCCACAACGCTCTTCAATTGACAACGCTGATTGGTCGCCGGAAGTCGAATTTCTTAGGGGGAGAAAACCTGTTTCTCTTGCTATCAGTTCCAAAATATTACTTACATTCATTTTATGACACATTTCTTGACTATTTACTTTGAAAAGACATATTTAATTGACCTGGGATCGGGACCTAGGACCAGTCTAACTGAAGGACATTAAATATGCAAATTTTCCTGAAAGGTCAAGCTGGCAATATATTTTTTCTCGATAGTCGATGCGGGCGCACTTTCCACTTGGGAGATGATTCAGAGAACAATTTTTGTTTCCTTTACTATCTTAATCAATTTATTACTATCTAATTTGCATATACTAAAAAACATTTGGTTAATATTAAAGATAATATTCTATTTTTAATTTGTATCATTGAAACATTGCTTTCATATAGAATTAATTTCTTTCCAAATTTGTAATCAACAGAATTTTTTCACTTTTATCAATACATGTAACTTGTTTTATAAATTTAGACATTCATAAAAATCCTAAGCAAAACACACAAATCATGATGTATCACACTATACTAGTACTTGCTAAGTGATATTGGCTTTATCAGTTACTACTGGTATATATATTGGCCCTGAACATGCATAAAAAGTTAAAATGAAATGTTCAGGTCAGAAATCTGAATAATATCAGAATGTCTTGGCTAGATATCTGTACATGTTTCAGAGATGACTTGTGTCATTTCACATTTTTGAAGGCAAATTTAAAATGATTTCCCCACAGGGCCATATCACTTTCGACTATTGTTATTTGCATAGAATCATTTCATCACACAATACAATGTAGGAAAATTTTAGTCATGTTAAAATTTTCTGATTGTATAGTATTTTGAAATACAAACAAAATGTTCATGTTTTTAATAAAATTATTTGCTGTTTGCCTGATCGGAATATCAATAGAAATTGAACATATAGTATGTAAATAGATGCAGACACTTGTATTTGCATACCAAAGTGCATTGGTGAAACATTCTTATGCTGATTGGACACAGTGCGTTCACTTTGCATTCTCAGGCACATACAGAGTAGCAAGCGGTTTTAAAAACTCATTCAGCATGATTAATCTTAACAAAAAAAAACACATAATTTGAATTTGATATAATTTCATAATGCAGTAAATCGCTTTATATTGAGTAACAAAATGAGTCGCAGCATTTTGTATGAATTGAACTCTCTCCAATTGATCCAGTGCATTGCTTTATAAGAGTAAATTACAGTAATTCAATCTGGATGTTACAAATGTGTGAGTAAATTTCCTGTCTGTGAATCACTTTCTATGTTTATTCAATATTTTAAAGTAAATAAATTTCTCATTTTCAATATTCAGTCAATTATGAATCTTGGCTTAATTTCTCTTTGGAACAAAATGGAATACTGACCTTCACTTTGGTAACTATTTGTTCAATTTAGTTAAAACACATGTAGAATATTCTATATATGATATAATAATAATAATAATGAATTTATTTCATCCTTAGAAATATTTTCGCTGAAGGAATAATTCCATGAAAATAAAATCCAGCTAAATACTTTTTTTCTATATTTCACATTGAACTCATCAAAAATCTGTGAAAATAATTTCCATAAAAACGCCCAAAAAGCCTTTTCAGCGAAAATTAATTTCAGCGAAAATAAAGTATTCCACAGTATAACTAAAGTGGATTTTAAGTCAGATTAAGTGCTCCTTCTAGGATGTAAAGTCATATCTCCACATTTTATCTTTGATTGGACTTTATTTCCCAGAAGAATCCATGTAGTCTTGTTTTTTTTTAGCTTTACTTTTTTTAGTGTAACCATCACACATGTAAATGACAAAAGGCTGAATGCCGAGGATGCTGACCATAAGTGTGACTTGAAACAGCACAGTCATACCAAATCTGATTAAGATAAGATCCTAGTTTTGGCTTTTTTTTTGTAGCCAACAAGGAAATGTATGTGGTGATAGTTAAAAATATACCGAATCACAAGTACATAACAAAAAACATTAAAAAAAACATAATAATTAAAAAAAAAATAGTAAAAGTAAAATAAATACATAAAATGAAATACATGCCGTATGAGTCATACCTTTACTATGGTAATATGATGAAAACACCTCATTGTCAGTGGAGGTACATTAGCATAAACACAAAAAACTTATTTAGTATAACATTTACAATGTTTTTAACATTTACATCTGCATATCAATCTCAACCAACTCCCTCATAGAATAGGAGTTGTAGGTACTGACCAGCTTACACAACTTTTCACCTGCAAAAATTCCAAACTGTTGACACCTGGCCAAGCTCTAAGTTCAGAAATGCCTGACAATAACAAGTGTCAAAATGTGCGCAAACCAAAACTCTAAAACTGCCACAGTTTGTTTTGTATACACTAAAAACACAATTACTTATCTGCATAATCTCAAAAAATGTGGCTGAATACAAATCTACATAGAGTCAAAAAATGTAAAGTTACAGAAATAAACATGCAGGCATAACAATGGGTCAAATGATCATGCATGAAAAATCATTGAAATATGTCTTATTTTGACCATATACTTGTCTCTGTCCTTTAAATGATTAGGATGGTTCCAAGTAGCTATGGTTTTAACAATTATAAATATTTAATGAAATAATAATTATCATTTTGGTCATGTGACAACAAAATTAAAGCACTGGTTGCATGTCCCTATCTGCAATATTACTTTGTACATTAAAGTTATGCATAGTAATAAACACACATGAAAGAAGTTACATAACAAGTAATTAATATGCACGTATTTCAACCCTGAATCACAACTGTGGATTTTCTATAAGCACCTTCGAGTATGTACCTAGTGGCAAAAAGATTTGATCAGCGGTACTCGAGATATCTATGGAACACCCATAAATAAATTTATGCAAATTAGGTAATTGGTAAGGACCAAATTTAACTCTAAAACATGTATATGGCTTATCCCTAAGCTTCTACATGTGTATGTACCAAGTTTCATTGAATCTGATGAGTGGTTGAGATATTGGCCAATTTATATGCAAATTAGGTTAATAATATACACAGATTTTAAACAAAAACTAATTGGGTTTGTGCATTATCCAGAGCATCTATGTACCATGTTTCATTCAAATCTGTTGAATGGTACTTGAGAAACATATGAAAACAATTAAAAGTAGCTAATTATTGTGCAAACTAGGTCATTAATATGCATGAACTTCATCTAAAAACTAATAAGAAATGCGCATTATCCCAGAGCATCTATGTATCAAGTTTTATTGTAATCTTTTTAATGTTTCTTCAGAATAAGTGAAAATGCCTAACCCTAGTTTATTAGTATGTAAATTAGGTAATTAATATGCACAGATTTCAAGCAAGAACTAATAAGCTCTGAGCTTTATCCCAGAGCATCTATGTACCAAGTTTCATTAATATCTGATAATTGTTTTTTGAGATATCAGTGGAACAGATACACACACAAATGTACTACCGGTAACCGCAAAGACACATCCCTTCAGATTCACATCATTCCAGATTCAAATCATTAGTTTCACATCTTTTCAAATTTCATATCATCAATTATTTATTTCTTTAGTTAATTATGAACACAAATACACAAAAAGTATCGCTGTATTACATCTACATTGTTTAATTGTTTTATACTTGCTGTAAAAGTGTTTTTTAAAACATGTTTTATTAATCACAGTAGTAACCATTAGTATGTAGAGGGGAGGCAAGGGGGGTAGCTGGTACGGTTTTACGGGAAATAAAAAGGGCTTTTTTTTATGTAATTTCCCTGGATTATTCTTTACGATTTTTTTATTTGGATGTAAATTCTTGTACGTACCGAGAAAAATGACACATTTTTACAGTGTACGAAAAAAATATTTGATCGATTACATTGTATGTCTAGCCTGTGATTACAGAATTACGGAATTTATTTTTTCAATTTACGTAGTACGAACAAAAAAATATTGCAATTACGTTGAACGAAAATAACCCTTGCCCCCCCTCTATGTAGCAAACTCTCACTATGAGACTGTGATGCAGAGTGAAAAGTTAATCACATTTTTTTATCAACTACAAAATTGATGAAAAATTACTATGATTTCAACAGAATATTAATTAGATATTTGTATTATCATATACATTATTATATATATCACTATCATAATCATCACTATCATAATCACTATTTCTATCTGCATGATAAACCTCATTAACAAAAACATTGGAGAAGGCTTGAAAGTCCTCTACACTAGACTTTGCTATCTTGACAGCAAACCTTTCATTTGTTGTGTCGATAATTTGTTTCAAAGATGGATTTTCAATCTGTGTCATTCCCTTCTTGTCGGGTCTTTCATAAAGTCCCATCCTTTCAAGAAATTCATGTCGCTTCCTTATATGAAACAAATTATGCTTGAAAACTCTGGCAATCACTTGACTTTTAGGGTCTTGTATTCCCATCGTGAAATACACATATTGAAATTTAACCTCCATTTTGTATGCATCTTCGTGCACTACTGTTGGACATGTCTGTATAATTTTACAAACCTGTTCTTTAGAAAATTGACATCTTTCTTTTAAAGTTTTTAAAATTAATTTAAATTGTTTAGTTTTTACTATCAATATTGTAGGACATGAAGCAATCGTTTTCTGTAATGTACCATCTTGAATTCCCAATTTTCTAAGAAGTTTAATATTATTATCCAGTTGGCTGATTTCTGTATTAACAATATCAGGTGCCAGGGTGAGAATTCTATAAACTTCATGAGGTTTGAAAACCAGGTTAAACAAAAACATAGTACAATCATTTATCTTCTGATGTGAAGTTTTTAACATGTCTGGTGATTTGCATATAACTGCTGATATCTGGTGTTTATCAAGCCCCATATCCAGCAGCCTTACAATCCATAGTCTTAATGTCTCAATCATTTTCCCTTTTATTTCTGAAATTTCAGTTTCAATGCATTTCATTACATCTTCCACAGATTTTGAGGAGTACAAGAGTGATGATGATGTTGAAAAATAACCTCCTACTGACATTCTTTCTCTGCATAATTTCCAGTTGTATGCAGTAATTATTACTGATGGATTTCTCTTAAAATACTGTGATGATGTCACTGTTATGTAAGCCTGAGCAGCTTGGATTGTTGGTTTCCACTTCTTTACTCTTATATTAAAAGTTCTTTGGTATTGCACGCTATTGGCATGTCTAGCGTAGCGTTGGAGATGTGACAACAATCGTGACATTATTTTGAAATTCTGAAATAAAAAAATATTAAATTAAAGTAACATACTCCGTGAATAGATGACCTATTATATTATACAGACTGGTATGTTCCCATTATAAAATCATTAAAGAATGTGCATCAAAACACACTTAACAGCTGGATGGTGCCTGCAAAGTTAGAACAATTTAAATATTTTACAATTTTTTTACAGTTACCTTTTTGCCATAGCATCATATAGTCAATACAGTGATGGGAATACATGATTCTAAAAGTGTTTGCCTTTATTAGAGTTTTAGAATTATACATATTTAAATTATTATACCTTAAGGTAGCGGGACTATTATTTGCATACTTGTTTTCATCTTCTAATTGGGACCAAACGACTACAAATAGACCCAAGGAAGTATATATTTTTAGA